GATTTACCTACATGAAAGATATCATTCACTGGAGTTCAAAGAAAATTATTAAGTTATAGAAACAACAGATGCTTTAGGAATTTGTGATATTCCTTGCCTCAAAAATTAGAAAAACAAAGTAAAAAGAGGAGGCTAAAGGAAAGCTTAAAGAAAGCTCAAATAATATTAAATTTACATTTTATATTACACATATAGACAGGGTTAATTTACAGGAAAAAATGTCAATTAGCAAACAACTACTCTGCTGCAGTGGCAGAGTAAATTATGGCTTATTAAAAAAAGAAAAAACAACTTACTCATCCTTGTATAACTAATGTTATAGTCTCACTCAAGTATTATAATGTGTTTTAGTCACTAATACCAGAAAATAAAAATTTAGAAGAGGAACTTGAAACTATAGAAATATTGTTTTGGTATGCTACAGTAAGAAAGCAAAAGTGCTAGGACTGAAACTTTTAGAAAATTTACAGAAGTGAGTAATGAGATGAAAAGCCCAAGACAAGAGAGATTCAGACCATAAATCACTTTTTTAAAAACACAGCATCTCCGAGTTATCAACATTTACAGACTGAAGCAAAGCTAGATAAATATTAAGGACACCAAAAAGTTTTTCCCCAATAATGAGAGTCAAAGAACATAAAGAAAGAAAAAGGCAAGAAACCTAAAAATAAATAGTAAAGACTTCAACTTCATACCGTTTGTAATTTTATTATTGCAATTTTAGGAATTGCCTAAAAATTAATGTGAGGAATGAAAATATAGCTTCCCCCCTGCCCCAGGTTAAGCCATAACAATAATTCCAGTTACTAATAAAGACATACTCAGTAATGCCTTCAGGGAACAGACCCACTCTCAGCCAAAGTCCAGCTGCAAGTGCCATCCTGACACAGCACTGCAGAACCGGGAGTACACTTGGGGACAGCCGGATGGAATTTTAACTCTCTGCAAAGCTTCCAGGACTAACCACTGGGCAACAACTACACAAAATACTGCTCTACTTTTAATTTCTAGTTCCCAATGCCAGCCTCACATGAGCTGTCATCTCCTCCTGAATACAGATCTGAAGTGCACACAAAAGCAGAAGCAATACAAATTTTCAACTTTAGTGTTCTCCTGCCAATGGGAAGATAAATATCATTCTCCGTATCCAGCCTCACAAAATTTGATGATGCAACCAAAGATTAGGTAAAAAAAACCAAACCAAAAACTGTTGTAGGTTTCTCAATTAATTTGCAGACCTTCCAGTATGCATCTCTAACTTGCAAAGATATTACAACGGTTTTATACTGCACAGCAGTTTACTTTCAGATTTGATACAGTGCAAAAAAAGTGGGGACATTAACTGTGCTGCAAAAGAGGTGGCAAGGAGCATTTTAATTTCATCTGAAAATCTGTCAGGACAGTTCTGTCATCATAAACCTAGCTCCCTTCCTTTTTCATAGTACCACATACAATGCAATGTGAAAACCTTCCAGTTGAAGAGGATTAATACTGACATTTGAATTTTTCCAATGTGTAAGTAATATCAGCTTTAATAACAGCCATACACATCATCCTTTATGTCGTATGACATCTAGAACAAATTTACAGAACCCTTGTTCTCTGAACAGTTCAACACACCAGTGGAGGCAAAAAAGTAGGAATGAAAAATACTTACAGGAGCAAAGACAGTCATTAGAAAAAGAAAGAGCAGAAGAGAAGGCATTTCATATGCCATGCCTACTGTTTAGATTAATAGGAAGAAACCAGAGAACTGGAACAGAAAATGGCTGCTTCAGTGACCTTTAGTGTGCACAGTGCCATCCCTGAGAACGAACCTTAAAAATTGATAAGCTCAAAATACTCATCAAGGAAAGAGGGAGCAGGCAACTGACAGCCACTTGCGAGAGAAGCAAAGTCTATGGTAAGACTTACAATTCTGGACTTTTTCAATCAGTTTGACCTCAATTTGCATCTCCTTATCATTCTACTCCTTTAATTAGATTAATGTGCCTTTCATGGCACACCATAGGTGTTACAAGCTGGCTTCTTTAAACACATTTGAAATGTTAATTAAAAATGCTAACAGCTATGCACAGTAATGAAAAAGTGTAGTACCATGAGATTGATTAAATTCATCTGGAAGAAGTATTTAATATAGCAACAAAATCCTGAGCAACTGTCAAATAGCTCTTTTCTGTCAACACTCACTTAACAAAGGTTTTTCGATGATTTTTACTAGAGAAAGACTATTCTTAGCTGTTTAAAAACGACAGTAGAACAATCTGATCCCCCTCTAATGGGAGAGAAGTCTTCCAGCATCTCAATGGCCTGAAAGTTTAGTTTGATGATAAAAGCAACATAGTTATTTTTAGCACTCTACAGGCATAAAAATACAGCTCTAAACTGTGACCTACAGCTATGCACAGCCAAGCATCACATCATACGACAGCCTTAACTTTAGCTAGAAGCACGTCTGTAGTTGCTTCAGACTATCATTATTCACCTCAGTACCAACAATACCTTTGGATGGATTTAGCAACAAGCATTTGAAATTGTTACCATCTTTTTTTCAAATTGCTGCCATCGGCAGAACTCAATTCAAAGGTAGGAGATCTTAATGGACTTTGTAGAAAGTATTTGAGAGACCACGTTAGATTAAATGGATTACTGCTTCTCTCTGGTACGGAGGATGAAAAAGAACCTTAAAAGCAGAAAAACTTAAACTGTCATATTCAGTACAGAAAGTCATTTTTCTAAGTACAGTTTGAGAAAAAAAAAAAAAAGGAAAAAAAAAAAGAAAAAACCTTGTTTTCTTCCAGCAGTAGTAACAGCCTGGAAACATGTTATGCTAGAATAAGAGATCTTCAAGCAAACTCACCTGAAGCAACACTGTTCACAGACAACTGTAAAGGTAATTATTTTATTCCAATTAGTATGCTTGTGTCTGCATGATTTGTAACAAACTGCAATTTAAAAGTCTATGCTACCAGATTTCTGTTTCCAGGTTATGTAAATAAGAATTTATTTAAAATAAAAATTGATACAGAAGTTTCAAAAACAGACCACGCAGAGTACCAGCACCTAACTTTATTTAATCACTTTTAAAATGTATGGGCAACTTCAAATTTTGGAGGTTTGGAGTTTTGTTTTTTGCCAGGGTTTTGTTATTATTGTCTTATTTTGGGGGAGGGTGGCTCTTGTTTGGTTGGTTTTAGGTTTTTTGTGGGGTTTTTTGTTGTTTGGGTTATTTTTTTTTAAACCACATATGCTACCATGATAAAAAATGCAATATTTCCAATATGATAGATATGCACTTTTAGATGCTATGAACTTCACATGGTTATTTTAACTCAGAAAACAGATGGAAAAATATTACAAAATGTAAGGCTTGTCAAATTTAATTATGGTTTGGCAATTATTGTTATCACTACTTACACTGCACTACAAAATATTTTAGGATCATTAATAAAGTTTCCTTTAAACATCCAGTTGCTAAGAAGGAAGTCTACAGGTATAGATAACTATCAGACACAAATAAGGAAAACTTTTTTTTCTTCCTTTTCCCTCACAGCTTAAAAATGCCACTTTTTGGCTGGATGAAATGGTCAAAAAATGATTCCTACAAACCCACAAGATACTCTGGATCAGACATAGTTACAAAAACCCTGCTGAGGGAATTGAAATGGCACCTGAAAGAGCGTGAAAGATTAGTGCAAGAGATTGAAAATGAACAAAACCTCCAGAAAACTGCCATGGATTACAACTGGCTGAAGAACCACCAAAATCCTCAAGCAACAATTCCAGCTACTGAGCAACGACAGCTCGAAGTTCTGTGTTCACAAATCCAGCCTTGCCAAACAGGAACTGTTCTCAGCAGGTAATAGTCTCACATTTCTCTAACTTTGAGTATTCTATCCTAAGTAAGATGTTTCTTATTATTCAAGCTTATATTTGGCTCTGACCCTTCTTCCAAAGTAATGATGACCAGCAACTGGAACACATTTTTACAGGTCTTTTAGAGATTACATCTTCACTTTAAGGTGTTGTACTTGAAGGAGGTTTTTAATCAGGATTTTCCTTGTCTAATACAAAACAAGAGAAGTCTCACATGCTTAAACATGTGACCACTCAATACTTTCAGTTCTTCCCCTGTTATTTATCTCCAGTATTTATTAAATAGTAACCCAACAACCAAAAATCAAATTAAATCACTAATGCAATGCACTGTTATTCAGAAATCCAGCTTCATTGTCCAAAATACCTCAAAGCTTCTAAAACTAGTGAAACAGCATAAAAAAAAAAAAAACCACACACAGACAAAAATCCACTCATTTTACAAAGAAAAATTCTCCTATGCCTGTATTTTAAATACATTTTCTAGGGACACACAGAAACGACAGAACAAGCCTATGCGCCTTTTAAAGCCCAGAATATAGCTAAGGGCAAAGTCAGTTTAAATCAAGTTACCCAGATGGGCCAAGGAAAAAAAAAACAACATATCCAATAACAATCCTCATAATAGCTGGACCATATCCAGTGCATTGTTAGAGCTCTTTTCCTCTTATAATGTTTTGGGGGAGGTGTGTGGGGAAGTGTAATGGCAAGGAATAAATGACCCCGCAACGCAGTCATTTCCTCCTCCCTCCCCTCAAAACACGAGAGAGGAAACAGAAGAGTTTTCAATGCTGATGATTAGGTTTCAATTTTTGGCTTTTTTCTAGATTTCGTGAAGTCTTGGCAGAAAATGATGTTTTACCCTGGCAAATAGTCTACATATTCAAGCAAGTTTTAAAAGATTTTCTCACTACTACTGAGAGAGAAAACCAACAAGACCAACTGGTAGATGCATGGAATGCAAATTGCTCTGAACACTTCAGCGTGCATGGAGACAGTTCTAACAGATCGGACAAAGATGAAATCCCTACGGTTTCCAGTTACGTTGACAAAAACACACAAAGCATGTTTCCCACCTTCTCTCATAGAATCTGGAATCTACCCTATTACTACCCATCAAGTTAAGTTGGTTTGTGTTTCTTTCAAAAAGCCATGTAGCCATCTGCATTCCTTTCTTGGGATTGCCGTCCACAAACATAGGAATAAGAAATGTGACATGCTCCCTTTTCTTCCAAGTTCAGAAATTAAAATCCTTGATTATAGCTAGTATTGCAGTAAGCAAAGTTTAAATATGAACTCTCCTTTTACCTTTATAGTTCCTTAAAGATGTTGTTTGAAGGCACCTTTTAAACAAAAATTGTAGATGCTTCTGAAAAAACTTTTAAGCATTTTATTTTTTAGCCATATACAGCTAGATGTATTTAAACAAGAAAAGACTGCTCTCCATATTTTGAAATAGCATCAATCCACAAAGTGTTAGGCAAAAACTTCTGTATTTGTCACATAGGTTTTAGGCTCTATGGGAACTTTATACTGTGCAAGATAAATGGTTTGATATAATCAGTTATACCAATAAACTGGCAAGTAAGTTTTGGAGGTGATTAATTATTTCTTAACTTATAAGTTCTGAAATTAAAACAATGTCAGAAGTTATAACACGCTGCATGTACTGTTTCTATATTTTTTCCAAACTGTACTCTGCACATGCTGAAGTACTGTGAAGGTAGACAACTCAATGAAAACATCAGATATTTAATGGCATTTAACAACTAGCTCACCTATTCTTCAATAAATTAATGAACTATTTTATTTCAAACGGTTGTACTTCTTCATTTGACTTACTGGAAGCTATCCTGAAACCCAGACTCTGCATGAAACTTAAATGTTGTGATCAAATCAGACAGTACTTTTCTAGAATTAGCAAGAGTCAACAGATCACTTCCAAAGCAAGAGGTGATAATGTTAAATTTAACAAAATTTCATGGTTTTCCGTTGCCATCATCTATCACGGTGGGTTCATAATACAGTTTTACAAGACTGATTGGATACATAGCAGTTACGGTCACAGCAGACAATTAGAGCAGAAAATCAATGAAAACATATGCCAGAACTCAGTTTGCTACATTTCCTATTGGGCTCCCATCACTGTATGTAATAAATTTTTACATGTCTTTTATGTAACCTCTTCATCTCCAGATTTCCCTTTAAATCTGTCTGCCATATGATAAAAAATAGGCAAGAGTCACATGGCCCAATTCACAAAATTCACTGTTTTGCAAACAGGGAGGAAAATTGTTTTCTCTGATATTTTCTTCAAACATACTGAAGACGACATTCAGATTTCCTCAAGTTGGTAATGCAAAACTGAAAGATATTTCCTTATGCTCCACAGTTGTATCCCCTACCCAAGAAATAATTTACTAATAATGCAACATAAATTAGGTGAAAAAAGAATGGCACAATATTTTCATAAAAGATAAAAATACTATTTTAAAAAAACCTCTGGAAAGCTTATAATCTAGAGAACGTTTCATGCAGAAGAGTGGAACATAATATACACAGAAGGTGAAACAATCAGAACTCTTGCACACACCTAACTGAAAAAGCACTAGAGGACTAGATAAATCAGTTCCTATAGATTTAGAATAATAAAAACTCGCAGCTCAACACTAAAAGTAACAGGTCCCTTCTCCACTTTCCGTGAACTAAATACACAAAACTTCACAATCACATGCAAACTCATTATATTGGCACTCAGAGTTGGTATAAACTCTTTGCCCTCCTTTTGTGCAGCTGTCAGTTTGTGGATAAATAACAAAAGAGCTGATCTCAACTTACTCTGCCCTACTGATGGAGAATAAAGAGTACCAGATCCTTTTTTGTGCAGTTCTAAACAATCCATGCATGAGGGCAGTAATGGTTTGAAAGAAAGGTTTTTCCTCAATGATAAAGTTCCCCAAAGAGTTAAAACTTCAAGTACCTTTTCCATAGGAAAGAGAGTAACAGGTACTGAGTATATAAAAGGCATTAGCAGGATTAATATTACATTGAGAATTAACATCCACAACGCTGGTTTCAGAGAATAATTTTTATTTGGTCAAATGTGCAAGATTCCTGCAATGGCAATTCACATAAATTAGTTACTTAAAACAGTGTGCTCACAGCTTTTTATTGGAAAATACGTGAAAAAAATCCCTAAAAATTTAGCTTCCAAATTTTAGTTTATGGAAAATGATAGGTCAATACGCACCCACTTACCTTTATCATCATCAAAAACATGTAGGAAAAAAACATCACAAACAAAAAAAACCCACAAGATGACCACAGACACAACTTACCCATTCTTCATAAATTTCACTTCAATTTCACTTATTTCACTTTAATGTAAGCAAATGCAGTCTTCTAAGTCCTGAAGCAAGGACCATCAACTACAACACACACTAAAAGGCACTTGCTGAACAGTAGTAAAAAAACACATCTAGGCATTATAGCCCATGCAATGCCGAACAGATGCACAAAAAGGCTTACCTACTTTTATATAGGTTTTATTGATGAAACTGATACCAGGCTACTGCATCCAGTTCTTGTGTCCATGCTTGAGGGGAAAGGAGAGGGAGAAACCAAACTGGGAATTGGACAGGGTACAGGAAGAAAAAAATATCCAAAGGCTGAGAAAATGCCATCCACTAAGACCCCACTTTGTCCATTTTTTTTAAAAACAGAAATAAGAAGTAACTTTACAGAATACGAACAGTTTCATCTGATAAACATATTACGTACTCTGTCTCTAGCTAAAACGCAGAGAAAAGCATAGAAAAAGCAAAGGTGTAAGAGCAAGAAAACAAACTAAAAATGTTAAGTATATTTTAAAGAAGTCTGCTAGGTTAACCACAACATGCTACAAAGAGAATCTGTATCTCAGTCCACCAGTTAAACTGAGCTATTTTCTGGAATTTAGCTTACACTTCGATTTCAGCTATATCAAGACAGTAGTAACGTGGCTGTAGACCAGTCAGCATTTCCCTGCTGAAGATTACCATCTGAGAACTCAACTGTTTCTTTAACCACTTTTTATTTATGTCCTACATGATTTGCATACATTGATCAGAAATTATACTGCTCCTTACACTAACCCAGCTGACATTTCTGACCCAGACAGGCAGCTGACACAAACCACTCCGGTGACAGAAAGGTGAGTGGTAATAACTGCAAAGGGCAGCAATGTCTCCCACCTGCACAAGTGGCAGGCAGAACAAACAGCGTGCAATGTTTTTAGCCAAATAAGGGGGTTACAAAAAACGGCTAACTTGGTGAAAACTACACCTATGAAATGCAAGAAATCCAAGAGAGAATACCCACCTTTTCCACACTTAAGCCTTTAGGTGTTTTAATGTAAACCACAATTGTTTTGATAACAAGGAAGGATTTAAGGGTCTAAATTTATTTTCATTCAGTTAAACACAATCAGAGGAATTAAAAAGTTAATCAATGAGCTACTTAAGGACCAAAATCCCAACCACAATTTCTGAGAACTATTATCTCTCCCTAACAAGCTCAACTACTAACACTTCTATTCTAGAGGTAGTTCAGATAACAAGATAATCTTCAAAGCCTTGGAAAGTGAGCCATCATTGGTAAAGGAAGAGAACACATTCTACATCTCTTTCTAAGGGAGACATGAAGCTTTTAGATTCCATTAGACAGTCTCCGTAACATTTCTGCAAAATATTAGTTATTACACACACTTGCCTGCAATAACACACCTGTTATTATCATTACCAATTTGGTATTAATCCTACACACTCTTACATACAAATTTAGACAAAAGTAGTATGAAAATGGTCTCCATCAACAGTCATACACCCGTCTTGAAATAAATATAAATAGGCATTTGAAAAAATTGAAATAATTTTGGTTTTCAATTTCCCAAGAAACAAACCAAGAGTTTTGAAGGAAACACTAAAACAGACTATACTTGCATAAAATCCAGTAGCTCCTTCAGAGATTCAGAGCTTGCTAGTGGCAGCACTTTTACACTAAAAGGTAAGAGGGGACAGACATTTTGATGTGCCAGCTTTGTCCTTTCCTTGAAGCAAAGACAGAAACTGATGGCCTGAATAGTCTTTGCTGAACTCTCGGAATATCTGCTGTTAAGATGTTCGGCAAAAGGTTCACTCTTTCTCAGAAGCCACTGTACACCCTTTAAGAGAGTTCCCGAAACACAGCCACCCATACTGCTATATACGGGGGGGAGGGAAGACTGTACCTCCAGCTAACTTTGAATTTTTTCTTTACTACACAGAACGGCATATAAAACACTCTTCTACAGCAACTACGGATGCACTAACCAAACCTGATCTAAATACTAAGATTACTATGCACTGCCACACACAACACCTTCCAGTTTAGGCAGCACCCAGGGGAAAATTTTTTTTTTGTTTTCAATATCCAGACACTAGTGAAAACCAAACGTACCTGGCTGCTATGCAAATATACACCCAGTTCTCCTCCTTGGCTGTAAACTCTCTCATCTGAGAATAAAGCAAACCCAAGGAGTGACATGCCAATATACCTTGAAGTAGCTTTACCCAATTAACTTAAGTGCTTCAGATAGGTCACAAGAGCAAGAAACATACACAGTTTAGTTAGAAAACTGTGGTGGGTTAGCCCTTGGCT